GCGTCCTTTGGACAGGGGTCCCTGCGCCAAGAAGCTCCCAGTTCGGGGGAACACTGATGAGAAGGCCGACAGAGAGAGAAAGACTTCCCCTGGAGCTCACACCCTGAATTTGGACTTTTAGCCTACTTTGACTGTGAGGAAATAAACTTCTCATTGTTAAAACCATCCACTTGTGGTATTTCTGTTATAGCAGCACTAGATGACTAAGACAGGTAGGCTTTCCTTTTTCCATCTGACAAACCATGTGAAGCTTTCTTTTTTACATTGGGAAGTTTCTTTTTCATTTCAGCTCTATGATGGATCACAACGGATGGGGCGCTACTGTGGAACAGATATTCCCCCTTCGGGGAGTACCACAAGCTCCAAGCTTCGTGTGCTGTTCCTCACTGATGGGGTTGGTAACCACGAGAAAGGATTTCAGATGCAGTGGTTCATTCACGGTAAGCCCTGGACCCATCTCATTTGTATTTGGCAGTTGTTGGCTAACCAACAAATTTTCCCCTTCCAATTCCATACTTGGAAACAATACAACCAACAAATAATGGAACCAGAGTATAATCTGGTGCTTAGCTTTAGAAAGCTTACTTAAATATTGGTAGAACCTGGAGAATTAAATCCTGTTAGGGTTAGGAGAGGAGCCCTGGTGACACAGTGGTTAAGAGCTTGGCTGCTAACCAAAAAGTCACGAGTTTGAATCCACCAGCCGCTCCTCGGAAACCCTAAGATGCAGTTCTACTCTGTCCTATAGGGTCACTATGAGTCAGAATCGAGTGGACGGTGAGGGGTTTGGGTTGTTTTTGGTTCTAGGGTTAAGAGAGGAAGTGAAGTCAAAATGAACAGGATTTGGATAACTGGCTAAGTGGTTGCAGCTGGGAATTACCTAAGCAAAAGGAGGGAGCAGAATGAAGTTTCTAGGAAGAAGACCTGTATCTGGGTGTGGCAATCAAGTTTGCAAGGTGAGATGATAGTTTCTCAGGTGCAGTGGAATAGAATGGGAATTAAGGATGACGTTAAACAGAGAAAGAACGACAGAGATAGAGAAAGAAAGAGAATCAATCAGAGAGAAGGGAGGGGGAAGGATTGGGCTGAGAGGAGAAGCAAGAGCAGGAAACATAAGCTAGTGATGCACTAAGACAGGATAGTGTGTGTTGTAACTGCCAAACGGAGGAGGGGCACCTCAGAGCCCTACAAATTGGTGGTTCAGGAAGAAGGTAGAGATAATCATTCCTCTGAAGGAGAAAAGTCATTTTAAACAAGAGGTCTGAGACTTTGATACTTGACCTCATGTGGGCCAGTCTAGAGGGAGAGGGCCCCAGAGCAGCGGTTCTCAAACATGGTCCCCAGACGGCAGCCTCAACATCACCTGGAGCTTGTTAGAAATACAAATGCTTGGGCTCCATCCCAGACCTACAGAATCAGAAACTCTGATGGTAGGGCCAACAATGTGTGCCTTAACTAGTTTCCCGTGTAACTCTTTAAAGTTTGAGGACCACTGTTCTAGAGGGACCCAATCCTGAAAAATGTAGTCCTTGCAGATATCATAGTAGCAGTTTTCAACCAGGATGTTAGGGATCACTGGTAAGTTTTGATGAACTTGAAAAACAAATGAAGTTATAATACTGTATTACGGCAGGAATCATACACAGATATCTAAGCTGTGGCCAGGCTGTTAAAGTCCAGGGTGAGCCCAAGGTGAGCACACATGAATGTATGTCATGGATGAAAAACTCTTGAGGGTTGTTAACATTATAGTGAGCTCATTATATGAATCACAGAACTATATATAATTGAGTAGCCCTCTTGTACACTCAAGTGTTGGATATTCTGAGGTTAAGTCTGTGGTAAATGATGAAAAATATATCTCTTCACAAAATGATCATGAATTGGGGTCTGAGGGTATTTCTGTTAAAGTGTAAGTATGGGATTCTGCGTGTTTGAAAATGGTCAGTGGTGATCTACAGAGCTATTTATAACTTGAAATGTAGGTTATGAATCCCCAAAGTAAATGAGCTATGATAATTAAACTTGTGGAAGTTTGGGACTTTCCTATTCATCAAGTGGGTGGCCAATTTAGTGACCGTTAAATGAAGGGATTGGATTGATTCATCTCTACAGTACAGTCCATTTCTATTATTCTGGGATTCTGAAACAGCATGATTCTAAGGAAGATAGAGACAGTTGTGAAAAGACATAGAAGGGACACAAAAATCCTGGGAAATGACCTAGATTTTCAAGGGCTAGGCGTATTCTCCAGATCAACATGTTTCAGACTTAATGTACATATGACTCACTTGGAGATCTTGTTAAGATGCAGATTCTGATTCAGTAGACCTGCGGTGGGGCCCAAGAATCTGAATTTCTAACAAGTTCCCAGGCAATGCTGCTGCTGCTGCTCTGTGGGCCACACTTTGAGGAGTAGGCAAGAGTTGATGTTAAGGCTGGAGACATAAAATGGCAGAAAGGACAGGATCTCCAGAGACAGGGGAAGCCTTCTAAGGTGCTGAAAGGGTACACTGTACTAACAGTTTATTTCAATGACAGTAGAATGATAGCTGGGGCCCCTCTAAGAAAGAACCTTATTGCTTCAGAGACCCAATGGGGAGGAAGCTTTCACATGGGACAAAGGGTGGAAAGTAAGAAGTGCTAACTAGGAGACCTGGGGCTCAGGAAGTAGGAGAGTGGTCCTCAGCCCTGGATGTACTTTGTAATTACCTGAGAGTTTTGAAAAATACCCATGGGACAAACCTCCAAAGATTGGAGCCAATTGATTTGGGGTAGGACCTTGACTATTGCTAATTTTTAAAAACTCCTTAAGTAATTCTTCTGTGCAGCTAGGATTGAGAGTTTTAGGAACAGAGACTTTGCTGGGTATATCTTTCCCCTCAATGGGCTGTTCACCTACCCTTCAGGCTGTTCTGGCCATACTAGCCCAAGGCCACCTTAAGGAATTTTTGATTTATGGTCATTATTGGCTACACTTCAATTACTGCATCACTGCATTCTTGCAGCCATTCTATGTTTCCTGCCAACAAGTTACACACAACTAAATCTTCTGATGGAAGCTCTGAGTTTTTGTCGGGAATTTTTTTTCCTACCAGTTCCCTTTGGAATCTGTCTTTTTCTGGGGGAGTCAAAGACACCCTCTGTCTATTCTCTTTTCTTGTTTACTATTTGAAAACTTTCTCCCAATTCCTGAAATCTTGCTAAGGTTGGAGCCAGAGTTGTGCAACACAATTTTGCCAGCTGGGCCCAAAACTGAATATTTTTTAACTCTCTGCTGTCCATTATGTATAAATTATAAATGGGAAGAAACTTCTAGAATGGGATTGTTAGTAATTTAGATCTGTGCAAAATGAATTGACTCTCATCAACTAATAGTTAGCCAATGGTATAACTATGTAGAGTTTATACTCTGCATCTGAACTATGCCCATAACTTGGGACTGTCAGAGAAGAGGGCACCAACAGAGAAGACAAAGATCAGGAAACAGGTCTTCGATGGGACAGATTCCCTCCATCCCCCCAGTTTTTACCCTTTGGAGATAAATTGCAGGCATAAGTCATGAGTTATTCATTCATTTGTTCATCCCACAGATAATAAGGACCTATGTTGTGCTGGGTACTGAGCCTGGGCTCGGGACACAGTGGCCACTCACACCAAGCATGCTTCCTATTCTCACGGGGCTCCCAGGCTAGTGAGGACGACAGACATGAGGCAAATAATCACACAAATAAAATAAAAACTATAATAAATGCTACAAAGAAGAGATACATTGTGACATGGGCACACACAATAAGGAGTATGACCTAGTCAGGAGGTCAGGGCAGTCTTCTGTGAGAATGAGACATTTGAACTAAGAACTGAAAATAAGCAGGAGTTGACTAGGCAAATGGAAGAAGAAAGACGATTTCAGATAGAGGAAAAACCCTGTGGTGGAAGGAAACAGGGTAATAAGATGAAAGCAAACAGTCCAGAGCAGGGACGAATGCTAGAGGAGCCTGGAAAGCTAAGCAGGGGCCAGACCACATGGGTAATAATATATGGTTAGGGTCTCAGACAGGGATGGGGCTGCACCCTGTTTTTTTCTTGAAATTTGTCATATTGCAAATGCATGAGTTTTGAGTAGGATCTTGAACCTGGCAAGTTGTCAGACTCCAATACTTCAACTATTATGAAAAATTACAATTGTGAAGTGTAATAGTTAATAATATTCTTGAATGTGTGTGTGAGAAGTGTGTATGTGGATGCGCATGTGCACGTTTGTGTGTGTGTGTATAGCATCAGAAGAAAAAAATATTCAAAGATACTGTCTCTGCAGAGCACCCCTAAACATCTTCTCAGAATCAAGCGGAAGGAAAGGCTCTGGACCTCCAGCCTACTGGCCCCGAAGCTGCTCTTCCTCACCTGGTCAGAGGAAGTGGCGTTGAACTCCTACCCTCATTTCATCAGAACCAAATCACATTTCAGGCCCCCTCTTTCTTCCCACTCTTTTCCAAACTACGTAATAATAAGAGCTCAAAAATTATGCTGAGGGTTCACAAAACTACAGTGACATCATTTCCTGAGCATTTCTGCTGAAGAAGAATCCCCACACACTTCATTCAGTAAGCCAATTAATAAATAAACCCATTTACAGAACGTACTTCTCTGTCAACCCCACACATCTTCCACCTGCTTTGAGAAAATGGGTCTATAAACTGTCTCTATCTGTTGGCCCGTGTTTAAAGTGGCACCGTGGTGAAGTGAGATTAAACCACATTGCCATGCCTTTATGTGTACCATCAAAGAGAGTCTCACCCTGGAAATAATGAAATGGCCACAGTTGCCCTGCCTGGCTAATCATTTCACAGTATTCAGCATTGACAGCATTGTCCAGAGGCTGAATTCTACCTCGCCGACAGGGTCGTGGAGGGGAATATAGAGCTTTCTGCAAGCTGTGTGAATAGCAGCCTCCCAGCCAGCTGCGCTGTGCACACCCCTCGTCTCTTCTGGTCTTCCTCTCCCAGAGGCCCTCTTTTACTGGGCTATGGAATGCCGCACACAAACAAGGAACAAGGTCAAGGAGCTTTGTGAGGGAAAGAGTGACATTTGCAAAGGGAGAGAACACTTCAGCTGGGAACTAGTGGGGAAGGGCTAAGTGACATGTGATTGGGAAGTGATGTCACCCTGTATTTTCACAAAGGAAAGTGTGGCCTTTTCTCTGGGGAGACAGATGACATCAGCTTCTTAAATGGGGCTGATTCTATTTTGTCTTCTATTTAGCCGTTAATGAGATTTCTTAAGCTTTGAGAATTTTCAGAAATCCACTTGGTGAGAACATTTAAAGCTTTATCAAGATCCTTTACAGTTCATTCGGTTTGAAAATAAGCCAGCACCTTCTTGCCTACCTGTGGACATATGGCACTGTACCAAAGGCTTTTAAAAAATATATTTTTAGAGC